ATTATATTCACTTCATTATAAGGCCATGTTGATTTGATTATATGGATGACATCCTCCGGGAGCCCCAAAACTGATGCGCGCGTGCGAATAAAAAAAATTTTGCAAAAAAAAAGTTCTTTTCATTATGAAATCTACGTGGTCATGAGGGTTGAGCAAATGGTACAGAATATGGTTTGGCGAATAATCTAGTCTTCAAGTTCATTTCTTTACAATTTCGTCTTTTTTCGTTTGATTTTGGCATTCTACGACCTTGGTATAGTTTTCATTAATTTTTTTTGTAACTTATGGTATATTTTTGCTCATTTTGCAACTGTTTTGTACGATTTACAGTATGGTTGAAAACTTTTTTTTGGAAACGGCCGAAAATTCATGCGCGCGCGGATGTCATCCATATAATCAAATCAACATGGCCTAAACTAAGATCATAACGTTCTTATGTGAAGCAATTTCTCTATCAAGCTTTGATGATTCTGTTGACACCTCCCGTGTTTCTGTACTTTTTTTGTGTTTATCTTTACCGGTTACCCTGCAGATATTGATATGTATTCACGTGCACATTTATTCATAATAGGCTGATCTTATTTTGTTTTACTGTCATTTTCAGTTTGGTTCTCCTCTTTCCTTGCTACGTTTACCTGTTCACTTTTCTGTTAAGTTGGTTCTCTGTATGTAACATTCATGTGACAGTTACCTCTTGTTACTTTTATCCATTATTAATTTTGGTTGAACCTAAGTTATTATTATTTATCATCTATGTTACATTTGATTTGATTTCTGTATATGACCAGTACTACTTAATTTCCTGTATTTATTATATATTATGTTAAGTTATAATTTATGTTACATCTGATTCTCTGTACCTTTTGATTTGTTCTGATTTTGTATTTTGTCGGTGCCTTATAAGCCTATATGGGCTGGGCGGCATATTGATCGCAATGGCACGATAATAAACAGTCATTCATTCATTCATTCATTCATTCATTCATTCATTCATTCATTCATTCATTCATTCATTCATTCATTCATTCATTCATTCATTCATTCATTCATTCATTCATTCATTCATTCATTCATTCATTCATTCATTCATTCTACGCTACCATACCAGTCTATCCAGTTATTCACGTTGAGACTTCTGACCACGATGCTGCGACCATGGGACAGGAGTATCAAGATACCTCTCACACTGCACACGTGAGTTTATATATTTTTTTGTTTCCGGAATCACAGTTCATTTCTATATTTACAAAGTACTTCTTCATAACGATGTAGCAACCATTTTGTTTTTCAGATTTCAGGCCATGTTGATTTGATTATATGGATGACATCCGCGCGCGCATGAATTTTCGGCCGTTTCCAAAAAAAAAAGTTTTCAACCATACTGTAAATCGTACAAAACAGTTGCTAAATGAGCAAAAATATACCATAAGTTACAAAAAAAAAATTAATAAAAACTATACCAATGTCGTAGAATGCCAAAATCAAACGAAAAAAGACGAAATTGTAAAGAAATGAACTTGTAGACTAGATTATTCGCCAAACCATATTCTGTGCCATTTTCTCAACCCTCATGACCACGTAGATTTCATAATGAAAAGAACTTTTTTTTGCAAAACTTTTTTTTATTCGCACGCGCGCATCAGTTTTGGGGCTCCCGGAAGATGTCATCCATATAATCAAATCAACACATGGCCTTACACATTTGTCTTAAATAACAAATAACTTAACTAGCCATAAGAAAAGTTACCTTAAATTAAAATTAGCATTTTGTGGACTGGATTGCAAATAAATTATGGAAAAATTACTCCAAATAATC